AGTGCAGCGCGGTCGGTGGCATTGGTTGCCTCGAGGTTGTGGGCTTTGAGCTTGTTGAAAACGTCGGTGGGATTACTGAGAAGGAGCGTCAGCAAGGTGCTGTCGCCGACGTGGGTGTGCTTAGGGGTGTAGATTGAGAGCCTTTTCCCGCCTTCAGTCGAGGGGGCGTTGAACTGGTCGAGGAACGGGAGGGTGGAAGACATGTTGGTGCGAGTGGGGATGTAGCGACCGGGTAGAGCTGCTATCGATTCAGCTCAAGTCCTTCCTGTTCTTATACTCTGCCAACACTTCGTCAGCCGTCCCAGTCAGGTTTGCTTCGGGCTCCCATGAGTCATCGGCTGTTGAGTAACCCTTCCACCTGACGCGATATTCGCGGCGTCGCATCCTCTTGTTCTCTCGATGTCCGATGATGGCTTCGACTTCGTAGTTATCTTCGCCCTCGATAAGGTCAGGAGGTGGCCTCGTGTAGTTCGGACCATGGATCTCCGTCTCCGAGTAGGGAGATAGAAGCCATTCGTGGAAAACGGGGTGGACTCGCCAGGTGCTAGGGAGGTCTAGCTTGTACGCGACCGTTCCGATCTTGTCTAGGACTTTGAACGGCCCTTCTCGCCTTGGGGCTAGTTTCCTGGATGGGTACGGCAGCTTCAAGTTCCGGGAGTCTAGCCATACCAGCTGACCTTTACGGAAGGAACCCCCCTTCCTTTTTACTCTCTTGGCCAGGACATTCTGGGCCATCTCCATTGCCGCATGTGCTTCCTCGCGGATGTTTTGCAAGTCCTTGAGGCGATAAGCTGCTTGGGGCGTGTTTGATCTGGGGTGCGCGGTGGGTATTCCGCGAGGTTCGTATCCCATCATGAGTTTGAATGGGGACGTCTTCGTCGTGGAATGCTCGCGGGAGTTGTGAGCAAATTGCGCAGTGTGAAGATGGTCAGCCCACTTATCCGGATCATTGGCAGTGAAGCAGCGGAGGTAGATCTCTAGTTCTTGGTTTACTCGTTCTGTCTCGCCGTCAGTTTGCGGATGGAATGCCGTACTCATGGCTGATTGAACCCCAGTCATTTTGCAAAGTTCTTGGAAGACTTTGGACGCAAATTGCGGTCCTCGGTCGCTGATGATCTTGTCTGGGAGTCCAAACCACTTGTAGACCTCTCGGTACATTGCGTCTGCCGTCCCAAGAGCATCAATTGTTTTGTTACATGGGATGAAAATTACCCCCTTCGTAAGGTCGTGGTCCACTACGACCAGAACTGAATCGAAGCCGTTGGACGGTGGCAAGTCGGTGATGTAATCGCACGAGAATGTGCTGAAGGGCTTGGCATTTGCGCGGGGTCGAATGGGGGTGATGGGCGGTCGGGCTGGATGTGTGTTAACCTTCATTTGCTGGCAGATGCCACAGCCGTTAACATAGCGAGCGACAAACTGGGCCATGCTCGGCCACCAGTAGTCACGGCGCAAACCGAGGAGGGTTTTCTGAACACCGGGGTGTCCTGCAGAGGGGAGGTCGTGATAGTGGGAGACAAGACGTTTGCGAAGAGACTCATCTGGGGGTACATAGACCCGATCTTGGTATAGGAGGAGGTCATCATCGATGGACCAGTCTGTTCCAGTGCGCGGTGTTCCTCCAGTGCGCGCCGCAGTGAGGCCTTCCTTCATTATTGGGTCGTTCTGAAAGGAAAGGATGGTGTCGCGGGTGTCGATGTCGATGGCGGCGACCCATACTTCTGGTGGGAGCATAACGACGTCGGTGTTGTCATTTGAGCCGTCGTCATGGTCGGGTCGGCGGGAGAGAGCGTCGCTCTGCACCATTTGGGTACCAGGAACGTGTACCAGGCGGAAGTCAAACTCGGTCAGTTTACTCGCCCAGCGTGCTTGTCGTCGGTTCATGTCTTTGGCTTGTTTCCAATATGTGAGGTTCTTGTGGTCGCTGAGGATCGTTACTGGGTATGGGCTGCCGATGAGGTAGTGCTTCCACTCATCTAGTGCGCGGATGACCGCATATAACTCCCTGTCGTAGACGTCGTAGTTTCTCTCTGCTGCATTGAAGCTTTGAGAGAGGTATCCGCAAGGATGCCAGTCGCCGTTGTCATCGCGCTGGCGTAGTACTGCTCCGGTTGCAAACTTGGAAGCGTCGGTTTCGATAGCGAAGGGTCGATCGGGATCCGGCATGCGTAGTACCGGTTCTTCTAGGAATGCCTTCTTGAGAGTTTCGAAGGCTTTCTGTTGGTCAGATCCCCAGGTCCAGGCGACATCCTTCCGGGTGAGAGCGACCAGCGGTTGCGCTTTGTCCGAGAAGCCTTTGATAAACCGGCGGTAAAAGTTTCCAAATCCAACGAAGGCGCGTACTTGCCTGAGGTTGGACGGCACCGGCCAATCTGCAATGCCGGCTAGTTTGACGGGGTCCATTGCGATTTCTCCTGGGCGGATGATCATGCCGAGGAATTCGACTTCGGTGACGTCGAAGGCACATTTCTCCGGTTTGAGGTAGAGGTCGTGTTGTCGAAGTCGTTCGATAACACGTCGTGTTCGTTCTTCGTGTTCTGCCTTGTCCTGGGAAAAGATCAGGATGTCGTCCATGTAGATGCAAAGCCAGCCTTCTTGAAGCATGTCTGCGAATATTGTGTTCATCATCCGCTGGAACGTAGCGGGAGAATTACACAGCCCAAAGAACATCACCGTGGGTTCGTATAGCTGCGGCGGTTTGCCATCAGTTCCGGGTACGATGAACGCTGCCTTCCATTCGTCCCCTTTCTTGATTCGGACATTGTTGTATCCGGCGCGGAGGTCCATCTTCGTAAACACCTTGGCGTGCTTCAACTTGTCGAGGAGGTCTGATATGAGCGGGAGCGGGTATCGATCCTTGACAGTGTTCTCGTTGAGTAGCCGGTAGTCTTGACAGGGACGTAGTGAACCGTCCTTTTTACCAACAAAGAAGAATGGACTCGCCAAGGGGGATTTCGAAGGGCGAATGTACCCTTTACTGAGGTTCTCTTCGAGGAACTTGTCAAGTTCCTTTCGTTGCTGCGGGTTGAGCGGATAGACCTGTTGCTTCATGTCCACGAAGCCCTCCTTGAGGTTGATTTCATGGTCGTATTCGGTGTGGTCTGGAAGTCGCGCAGCGGTGCCTTTGTCGAAGATGGGGAGGAGGTCGTGTAGGTAGGATGGTACCATCTGTGGTAGCGTCTTTTCTGTCTTGCCTTGGGCGTTCGATGCTGCAAGTTCGGTGGAAGTGGTGATGCGTCTAATGTCGTGGTGGATCTTCCAGATCATGCCGTTGTGAAGTCGTTTGTAGCCAGATGAAAGTTCAGGGAGTCGCTCCTTGAGCGGCATGTCCCTCACTGCCAGGGGTTCCTGTTTCTCGTACTTGGTGATCATCGGCGTTCCAGATAAGTAGGAAATGATGAACTCATCATCGTCGATGTCCTCCGCTTGTTCCTCGATGGACGCAATACCCGTTGACCCAAACCCATCCTCCCCGCGTTCTGTTTCGTCGATGCAGTCGGTTAGCATTACTGGTGGGGTGCTTATCCTTTCAAGGATGAGCTGGGCAACTCGGTCGCCAGCTTTGACGGTGAATGGGAGGTTCGAGTTATTGACCAGCAGGACTGAGACCTTGCCTCGGTAATCGGAGTCGATTACTCCTGCAGCGACATCGATTTCTTCTAGCGCTAGACCAGACCGAGGTGCAATTCTTCCGTAGTGTCCTTTGGGGATAGCCATGATAAGATCG